AAATAGGGCTAAAAAACAATAAAGTCTGACTGACATATTTCCTAAATAGTAAATATATAGTGTTGATACTTTTCAAAGAGAGAATTATGCTACATATGATGAACATCTAAAAGAAAAAGTAAAATATACCTGTTTTGAGAAAACTGAAAAAAAAACTACTAGTTAAAAGGATTTGAGCGGAAGGGGGGAAAAACCTGTTTGAGGTATTCTAAGTATGTTTATACTTGAGATTTCTATTATTCTTATCGTTGCAAGGAGGAAAATAGGATGAATGAAGGGAAGATCGAGAATTAACTTGAAGAAAAATGAATAGGAATTACAATGTGATTTTGTCAGAATTTTTGAAAATCATGTGATATTAATTTTATCCTCAATCCATATCTATTCACTTTTTTAATAATTCTTCTTTTTGTTTTTATAAATTGGTAGCCAGTCAAGGGCTTCATAGGCCAAATTGTTTCCGGCGTTTCTCAGAATATGCGCAAATAACTGAATTCTTCTTTTTTTTCAGTTGTACTGCGACAACTGAAAAAGTTTGGATAATTTCCATAAGCTAAAATTTGTGATAACTCTAGGATATATATATATATATCCATTAATAAATCATAGACATCTATTAATAAAAACTTGAAGTTTTTTAGTCTGAACATCCCAGATATCGCTTCCATATAAAAGAATGGGGATAATCAACGAATTAAACAACTGTAGTCTACTTTTAACTGATATTTCTCTTGTTATCCATAATTTAAAATATTTGTAGAACACTGATTTTGCATGTTTGAATCTTAATTCTACTTCGTCCTTTATATGTCCTTTGTTGTCCAAATTAACTCCAAGATATTTGAATTCCTTGACCAGATTAATCCCTAATCTTTCAGAAGTATGGTTTGGATTTATCTCTACTCATAGAGAGGGCATAATGACTGTTTTTTCAAAGTTAATCATAAGTCCGATTTCGCTACTATATGATTTAAGTATATCAAGGATACATATAACTTCCTCCATAGATTGTTTCAAGTAAAGGTTATCTTGGTAAGATAGATTTAATAAATTAAATGCTCCTAATGTATCTGCAATAATTTTATTCATAACAATATTGAATAGAATAGGGGACAGAACACACCATTGTTTAACTCCTCTTCGTACCATAAAAGAAGGAGATTGGGCATTCTCTACTTTAAAGGTAGACATTAGTGAGCCATAATGGTTTCTAAGGATTCTTATTATGTTCAAGTCTACACCACTATCTGTTAAAATATTCCAGAGAACTTCATGGTTGATGCATCAAATGCTTTTTTAAAATCTACAAAGATGAAGAAAAAAGGTAGTTTATATCTAAAACATTTTTGTAAGGTAATTTTTAGCGCTAAAATGGGTTGAAGGATGTTTCTACCTTATAAACACAAATATTATTTGATAATAAATGGCTTTTAGAGTTTAATATTCTATCTTTTAGAAGTACCATGAAAACTTAGAGGCTACAGACGTCGGCGCAATCGCTCTATAGTCATCAAAAGTGAATGGATTAAAAACTTTTGGGAAGTTGCATATAAAAGATATATTCCATTCCTTTGGAGTAATACCAGAAACCCAAATTTTATTAAAAATTATTAGTAACACTGAAATATAGTCTGGAGCGACTTTTAAATGCTCCGCTCTAATACAATCAAGTCAAGCCGCCTTGTTATTTTTTAGTTTTAGTATAGCTTTCTTAATCTCAAAAGTAGTAAAATTTGAGTTGGTGGGGAGTAGGTCATTCTCCGTATGAAATGTCACATGTTTGGAGTGAACTTTTCAGAATAATGGTCGAGCCATAATTTCATTTGTACTTCAGGGTCTCAAATAATGTTATCACCAATTCTTAATCTGGGAAGACATTTAAAATTTGAAGGTTTCGCCAACATTTTCAATTTTTTGTATGCATCAAATAATCTATTACATCTCATATCCGCCTCAATTTCATTTGCCCTGTTGACCACATATTTTCTTCTATCTGACCTTAGAAGTCTCTGTACAGTTTTCCATAAATCCTTATCTATATAGCTTTTAGTTTTTAGTTCCGCTATTTTGGATTCTGTAGTCGTAGATATCCATTTCTTAGGAGGAGGGCCTCTAACTTTGGTAAAATCTTTACAGTTAAGTAATAGGATGTGTTTGAAATCACTCCAGCAACTTTCCAGGGTTGAATTTCGGTTAGTTTGCAAGAAACGATTTATTACTAGAGAGAGCTTAGTCGAAATTACATCTTTGACCAATGGACATTATAAATTATTATAATTTTCTTGAAAACTTAGTTGGCAAGGAACTTCTCTCCAAGATGCACATAAAGTATTTTTGTTTCTCCACAATTCACTATTAATCATTAAATGTCCTTTAACCATTTTGTGATCAGAAATATTGACTGTGGTAATCACTCTCACATCAAAAACCAGTTGGAATGTTTGACAAAATAAAATCAATTTGTGAAGAATATTTATTTCTAAAGAAAGTAAAAATGTGTTGATTCTTATGTTGAAAAAAAGTATTTTTTACTTTAAGGCCCTTACTTTTACATAGTTCTAAGACAGGTTGTCAGAGTTATTTTGGCATGATTACCAATAGTGTTGTTTGTCGCTCGACCATTATTCTGAAATGTTTAGCTCCAAACATGTGACACTTCCTACGGAGAATGACCTACTCCCCACCAACTAAAATTTTACTACTTTCGAGATTAAGAAAGCTATACTAAAACTAAAAAATAACAAGGCGGCTGGACTTGATTGCATTAGAGCGGAGCATTCAAAAGTCCCTCCAGACTATATTTCAGTGTTTTTACCAATGATTTTTAATAAAATTTGGGTTTCTGGTGTTAGTCCAAAGAAATGGAATATATCTTTTATATGCAACTTCCCAAAAGTTTCCAATCCATCCACTTTTGATGACTATAGAGCGTTTGCGCTGACGTCTATAGCCTCTAAAGTTTTCATGGTACTTCTAAAAGATAGAATATTAAACTCTACAAGCCATTTATTATCAAACAATATTTGTGCTTATAGACCAAGTAGAAACATCCTTCAACCCATTTTAGCGCTAAAAATTACATTAGAAAAATGTTTTAGATATAAACTACCTTTTTTCTTCATCTTTGTAGATTTTAAAAAAGCATTTGATTGCATCAAGCATGAAGTTCTCTGGAATATTTTAACAGATAGTGGTGTAGACTTGAACATAATAAGAATCCTTAGAAACCATTATGGCTCACTAATGCCTACCTTTAAAGTAGAGAATGCCCAATCTCCTTCCTTTATGGTAAGAAGAGGAGTTAAACAAGGATGTGTTCTGTCCCCTATTCTATTCAATTTTGTTATCTATCTTATCAAAATAACCTTTACTTGAAACACCGTATCATATCCTATGCTGACGATATTGTAATCATTACGAAATCTATGGAGGAAATCATTACGAAATCTATGGAGGAAGTTATATGTATCCTTGATATACATACTTAATTCATATAGTAGCGGAATCGGACTTATGATTAACTTTAAAAAAACAGTCATTATGCCCTCTCCATGGGTAGAGATAAATCCAAACCATACTTCTGAAAGATTAGGGATTAATCTGGTCAAGGAATTCAAATATCTTGGAGTTAATTTGGACAACAAAGGACATATAAAGGACGAAGTAGAATTAAGATTCAAACATGCAAAATCAGTGTTCTACAAATATTTTAAATTATGGATAACAAGAGAAATAACAGTTAAAAGTAGACTACAGTTGTTTAATTCGTTGATTATCCCCATTCTTTTATATGGAAGCCATACCTGGGATGTTAATAAAACTCAGACTAAAAAACTTTAAGTTTTTTTCAATAGATGTCTAAGATTTATTAATGGATAATATATCCTAGAGTTATCACAAATGTTAGCTTATGGAAATTATCCAAACATACTCCAGTCGCAGTACAACTGAAAAAATAAGAATTCAGTTATTTGCGCATATTCTGAGAAGCGCCGGAAATAATTTGGCCTTTTAGGCTCTTGACTGGCTACCAATTTATAAAAACAAAAAATATTGTAATTATAAAACGTACTTGCTAAATAAAACTATATTCGACATTCTAAATTTGAATATAAGTCTAATTCAATTTACACATTTAAATAATAATAAAAGTTCAATTAATAAACTTCTTAAAATGAAAACCAACTACCTTATAGATCGATAGTATTCTTATTTAATCATTCCATCCCTTTGGGAGGTTTCAGTAATTTCCTTTTCCTCTTTTACCATTTTCAAGCCCATTCAAAAATTTACTACGTAATCTTTATATTCCTAAACCTAATATACTGTACACTCATTGGATGGTTATTCGATTTATTGTTGCTCAACGTAAGTTTTAAACCTTATTTTAATATATTATCCTAACATTATGTTATTATATTTATTTAAGCCGAGTTATATTATTTACTTCTCAATATTATTTTAAATAAAATTAATATAGCCAATATTATCCTTCCATAATCAAGTTTTATTTTAATCGGGCATGGGCTTTTTACCTCTATTTTTTATTTTCCCATGGGCGTTTTTGCCTCTTGCGCGTACAGGTAACTGCAGCCTGCCCAAAAAACGTGGATGGTCCACTTATTTATTTAATTATTCCCCATTCTTTTATCACAGTTAGATGGGTTTTTATGAGAAAACCAAGCGTTGCTCTGTTGTATATATATATATCTTCGATATATTAATATGACATTTTAGGGCTAATGCGCTTAATATCACGTATCACGTAATTTCCAAAAAAAAATTCAATTTTAATATAATATATTTGTATTCACTATTCATAAAATAAAAAATAATCCCTTATGTTAGAATAAATTTCAGAAAATATTTTTTCAATATTAAATCCCATTTCATTTTTTTTTTCAAACTTGCGAATAGTGAAAATCAATAATTCAAAAAAAAGGAAACATTTTAATAAAAAAATAAATAAAAATAAACAACAACAAATTAATAATGTGTACCGAAAATGCGAGGAGTGAGGTCAGATGATTGGCACGAGAACAGAATTTCGCTACACTTTTCGCACATTTCCACAGATTTCGGCCCGTGGATTAACAAGGTCAAATGCTTTGCGAGTTCCATTTGGCCGTGTTTGAGATCCGGTTTCGACTTAACGCGTGGAAGAAAAAGGAAAAAAAAATAGAGCCAATTTCCTCTCATTCTTAAGACTTATTCAGTGCACCACCCTCCCCTAATTAACTACTTTCGAATTCTAACAAGATATAATTTTTATTATTATAGTCTAAAGATATGAAGTGACCATGGCCCGAAAATTATTAATGTTATATTTCTTTCCTATTTTTCCTTTTTTTTTCTGCCCAATTTAATTTCACAATTTTTAAAAAATTTCATGGCATATATTTACTATATTCACATTTTCACGACATATTTTTGTAATAATATTAGAAATAAAATTAAGATATAAAACACGACAAAATAACTATCAAAGTCATTTTCCCAATATTTCAAATATTTAATATCGCTTAACATTAAAAAAATAGAGAATGTAAATTAAGTTTTCTTCCCTACATGTTTTTAAAAATAATTCAGGCCACTCGAGTCTGAAAATTTATTTTGCCATCAGACCCGAGGGCGGGCTTCAGGAAAATTTTGATTTTGATGATCTCTATACTATATACTGACTTTTGTAATCGGGATTAGAGGTCTACATTGGGAGGATTTTTAGCCAGTCCGCTCATATTTCTGACGGGCGCGGTCGGGTTTTTAAAAATATTTTTAGCATTGGGCGGGTGGCGGGCGGATTAAATCAAATTATAAAGTAATTGGTGGAATTTATTAAAAATAATAGTTTTGTTTCATAATAATAGTTACCAAAAAAAGAAAACAAAACGCACAAAAAATATTGATGTTAAAACTAATCATCTTGCGGGATCTGCCCATAAAGCTAAAGTAATTAGCCAGGTGAATCGCTATGGCGAGTCTTCTTAAGAAAAAGCCTTCGCGAGGTCCATCCGTAAATTTACGAAGAGAGCCAAGTTCATTGAAAAAGGATATTGCACAATTCCCAAAGGTTGTTAAGGTTGGGGAAATAATGGGAACGAATATGTATTTTTGTGATATTTCAGAATATTTTGCTATTTTAAGTAACTCCTTTTTCTCTAGAATGTTATGTGTTTGATTGGATGAAGCCAAATGATCAATACACGAGTAATCCCAGACCAGGAATTGACCATGCTTCCAAGGTTGAGAAATCCCACCAGGACGCCCATCGGATTTGAAAAGACCAGTAGGTTCAAGAATAGATAGAATTTGAGCTGATTTCAAAGCTCTAAGGATAATCGAATTGCATAAATTATGCGATTCGACCTTTACAAGAGCGACAATGGAAGCTATGTCTTCCATTATCCACAACGGCAGAACTGCAACTTGGGTTATTAGGCAGTCTAAAGGAATACCAATGGCGTGAGTGAGCTTATTATGGTTAAGTTGTAATTGCAAATTAACTGAGGGAATGGCTTCAAGGAACTCATGGCCAGATCCATTAAGCAGCAAGGAGAATAAAGGACGATCAGATAATTGCATTCTGGAAAGAAGTGATTCAATGCATATTGCAATAATAGGCCCATTTCAGTCCTTTTGTTTATTCGTTTTTGGAAGTGGGTGATCTCAATAATAGCAACATTATAGGAAGAGAAGAGAAGAGTTGGATATGAAGGCAGCTAGGTCAAGATCGAAAAGAGATCTGATACCAAGTCCATCCATCTTAATGGGTAAAGAGTCTAGTGGCCACGTTATTTCATCGAATTTAGGTTTAAAATATTTTCAAATAGGACTTTAATCCCATACAGAGAGATATGGGATATTTATAAATGAGAGTTGATCTAAGCACATATAGGATACGAGGAATATTGAAAATTTTTTTTAAGAGGAATAAGGCTTTATGGGAATGGAGAAGGGAAAGTAAATCAAGCAACTCAAAAAGCGTTTCAAGTGTGGAATGTAGGAAGGAAGATATTGCTGTGTATCGCTCAACAGGAGCGCCTAAATGATTTAGTTCCTCAAGGGTGGTCAGTTTGAAGTAGTGTGAATTAGGTTCAATTGATTTGATAGAAATGAATTCGGATTTCTCGGGGTTGACAGAGAGTCCAATAACCGTCCCAGCCTCTTTGATTAAATTCACTGCTTTACTGACTTCGTCATTGAACCACCAAGGATACCATCAATATACCAGGCATGCATGGATAATGAACATGTCGACTTAATGGATGTAACGATGTCGTTGATACCTAAACAGAAAAATTAAGAACTTAAAGGACCTTGTTGTATGCCCTCAATGGAAAGAGTTTTAAGAATATCGAATTGCAGGGTGGAAGGCAGATGATAACAAGAATGAAAAAAATTTTGTATAACCGAGGAAGAGGAACTCAGGAAGGAATTCCGAGAAAGTGTATTATAGACATCGGAGAAGTCAATTTTGACTACCGACTCTGATAGGCTGATCTAATATCTCATTGGACTTTTAAGTGCAATTAGCCTAGCACCGAAGAGAATTGGAGAAACAAAGCTAGGTACTTCACCATTTAAAATTTTATTGCAAAGGTTTATTATTTTAGTAAAAATGGGAGTTTGCTAAGTTGCCAAGATGATATCTTCTCGAATATAGCATGAAGCTTCATATCTCCTAAGCCCTTTCCAACTTGTTGTTGGGATCCCTGGCTGTGAAGCTTTTGTACATTTAACTAAAATACACTTAGAAAATCTACCCTTCAATAAATCTTTAATCAAAATAGACTTCTCCAATGCCTACAATACACTCTCCCGGAATTCCTTTCTGAGTTCCTCTAGTACTCTTTTCCCTGGTTACACAAAATTCTTTCATTCTTGTTATCAACTGCCTTCCACCCTGCAATTTGATACTCATAAAATTCCTTCCATTGAGGGCATACAACAGGAAGACCCTCTAAATTCCCTATTTTTCTGTTTAGGTATTAATGCCATTATTAAATCCATTAACACGACTTGCTCATTATCCTTACATGCTTGGTATATCGATGATGGTATCCTTGGTGGTTCCAATAACGAGGTCAATAAAGCTGTGAATTTGATCAAGGAGGCTGGGTCTGATATTGGACTCTCTATCAACCCCGAGAAATCCGAATTCATTTCTATCAAATATATTGAACCTAATTCACGCAACTTCAAACTGATAATCATTGAGGAACTAAATTATTTAGGCGCTCCTGTTTGGGGATACACAGCAATATCTTCCTTCCTAAATTCCACACTTGAAACGCTTTTTGAGTTGGCTGATGTTTATATAAATATACAATAAAATAAATAAAGAGCTAAACCAGCCATTAAAATAATTTTTAAGCATTAAGCGGGCGAGCAGGTTAAATAAAATTTAAAGATAAATGGGCGGTAGGGTTAAAATGGCTGATTAAAAAATTTAAAACAACGAGTGGACGGGTGCAGACCTCTAATCGGGATAGGTGTAAGTGGTATAGGAGCAGCTCTGTTAACATCTATATCATTTTTTTAAAAAATAATGATTTCTCTAAATTTTGGAAAAATAGAAATTAATAATAATAGCATTATTAAATAATTTTAAAAAAAATGAAAACAATATTATTAAACGAAAAGATAAAAATGAAAATGCAAATATAAATAAAAATAAATGAGTTAATACTTTTGAAAATGTGAGGATATCTTCGATGCGTTCCAAACTGAAAAAGGTGAAATATTTTAGATACGTTTCCAATTCGTCATCCGGCAATCTGATCAGATGCTTTCAAATGTATGTTTTAGTCGTTTAAAAAAATAATAAAATATTCGAGATCTTTTCACCATTCATTTATTTCCTAAATAAAGCCGCATACATAGTGGATCCGATCCGACATGATTTAACAGCTGATTGATTTTTAAAATTGGTTTATTAGAATCAATTTTTTCTTTATTAAAACTGATATTTCTTAGGTTATTATCAAGTATAGAATTAAAGATAAAATTAATATTATTTAAAAAAAAATTGATCTCAAAAAATCGATCAGCTGTTTAACCGTGTCGTATCGGATCCACTATGAATGCGGCCTAAGTAATACAAAATTAATAAACGATAAAAACTATTTGTTTTAATTCTCTTTTGAGTTATAACTTTGGATAATAGGGAATTGGTAAAAGAACTTTAAACATTTCTTTTCTTCTTTTAACATTCACTGGGCCTTTAATTTCAATTTAGGGGACAATAAAGCAAAGCAAAAGCATTATGAGAGACCTTGTTATCATTTATATAAGAAAACATACATATACCAAGCTGTTGTAAATATGGTTAACAATTTTAAAATATATTTAAATTGTTTATTTTATATTATTAATAGTTTTTGTTTTGCTAAATTGGATGGTTAATTTGATTTACATATAGTTTACCTTGATATTTAAAGAGAAAAACAAAATTGCTTATATATATATATCAATAATGATAAAATTTAGATTTTGATTTTTTTATAATTTTAAGAAATTTTATTTTACTTTAAAAATTGAATTTTTTAAACTTTATTTAAATTTAATACAGATACTTATAATTTTAAGACAGATAGACCACTAGGGCTTAATCACTCTAACTGATATTTAATTCCGGTCTAATCGAACCCAAGCCAATCCCTATACAAGCGAAATAAATGATCTACATCTTTAACATCCTTCAAAGGCCGCCAGTTTTTTAAAAACATGGATAACCTTGGAAGATCAATCCCATTTTTCTAAAGATCATTTGATATGAAATATTATCAATTAGGCCAGCCATAGGCGTAGCCAGGATATTGCTAAGGGGAGTGGTTACTATTAGGCGATTTCTTTCCCCATAAATTTTATTGGTGGTCTTTAGATTGACATATTGTAAATCTTAGGCTATATGCGATTTTTATAAAAAAAATATTTTGGGATTTACACTTTTTTTTAAAGATATTAACTTTTATTAATTTTTCATTCAAATTCTTCTTTATAGTGATATATTGTATACATTTTTGGTAGAGGGGGGTGGTATAGGGGGGAAATTTTTAATAGCTTAAAATGATTTTTACGAGAACAGGTAAATTTCAGAAGGGAGGATTTCTTCTTGTTTCCAGCAATTATTCAGTCATTAATAAACAAAAAAATTATTTTAAATATATTCTGGCAAATTTTTTGCCAAATACAGCAGTAATTATCTAATGTAGAATTGATAAATCCCTTTAAACGATAATAGTTTCCTATTCTTTAAAATTTACAAAATTGAAAAAGAAATGGAAGGAAGGAAGGAAGGAAGGAAGGAAGGAAGGAAGGAAGGAAGGAAGGAAGGAAGGAAGGAAGGAAAGGAGGAATGAAAGGGTGTAAAAAAAATAATAACTAAACATATATATATATATCTATATATATATCCATATATATATATATCCATATATATATATATCCATATATATATATGTGATAAAAAAAAATTTAATTGGTTTGTGTTGGGATCTTAACTTATTCCAGACGATTTTACTTTACCCTAAAATCAAATCAAAGCAAAAATAAATCTAATAATCTTTTATTTTAAATCGAACGACAAATTGTTATTTTCATTTTCATTATAATTCTTTATCAATATATCAGAGGCCTGCATGCCCGGTCCTAAGCCCGGCCCGGGAATTTTTAAAATATACCCGGGCCGGGCCTAAAATTTTTTTTTAAATACCCAGGCCGGACATTAAAATTTTTTAAAAATATTTATACAACATAAATTATTATATTCGTCAATTAGATATGGTTATAATGATTATATTGGGTGAAAGTTAACACTAGCTAACACTCTAGTATCTATTACATGAACACCTCAACAGTCTATATTAAATGCTAGTGTTGTTAAACGGCTCTATTGGAGACGATTTTTAAAAAAGGGCTGACTCAATATAGCAGCCATAAAAATATTAGGCAGGACTGAAGATTTTGGTTACAGCACAAAGGTTTATACATCTATTAACAATCTCGACGCTTAGGAAATATTTTTCTGGCTAAAATATTGAGTTAGCCATCTTTAAAAATCGGCTCAAATCGAGTCGTTTAAGAGCTCTGTTAAATACGAATTTTAATAAAATAAAATAATAAGAATACTGGAATTTTTTTTAAAAAGTTTTGTATATAATAAAAAATAATTGGATATCACCCGTTAAAAAGTACCTAACCCCCTCCTCTCGGCTAAATTATCCCTCTAGGTGTAAAAAGAAATATACAACGCCATTTTTTTGAAAAACTCGGTATCGAGACAAACCCTGAATGAAAAACATAATGGAAATTTGGACGAGAAGGGAACCAAGTGAGAAAAGTAAGCCGCGAGAAATGTGATTTCCGATCACAGGAAAATGTTTTTGAAGGTGAGTGGGAACCGAACATAAGTTAAAGATCACAAAAAATAGCCAATCGAAAACTACCCCAGCAAAAAAAAACTGCCCAAGAAAGGAGGAGTGTTGTATTTAAGTGCACAGTCCCTTTTTATTTTCCTATTTAATTAAATATTTTGGAGAAATGTTATTTAGTGAAGATGGGGTTAGTATTGTTAGCTAACTCAATATTTCAGCCAGAAGAATATTGACTAAGCCTCGAGATTTCGTTAATAGATGTCCAAACCTTTGTGTCATCTAAGAGAAAAATTTTTTAAGCTCGCATAATATTTTTCTGAATAAAACATTGAGTTTAGCCGCTTATAAAAATCGGCTCCAACAGAAAGATGGGGTAGTCTCCACGTGGCATTTGGGAGAAGACGCGGTCGTTTATATGATCGAGAGCTTGTCTCGTCTCAACTTTTCTATAGGCATGGAAAATTTATGCATATAGATTTGTCAATCAATAGTTTATTGAGTATGATAATACATCCATTACATATATAAAAAAATAAGATTTAAATCGGATAATTAATAAATATCAAAAAAGAAACTTGATAAAAATCATATGGCGAGGTTTTATCGGCGTTGAGCCAAATAACGTTTCCCAGGGATTTCGACATTTTTTCTCCCTTGCGACTCTTTAACAGCGGCATGGTGATGCCTTACATTTTAAATAATTCGTTTCTATTAATTTATTCATTTTCTTTTCTTTTCTTTTCTTTTCAATTTAAATTTATTTTATATTTCGTTTATTCTTTTCCTTTCCTTTAATTCTCATTTCTTTTAATATATATATATATATATATTATTTTTACAATGGACGGTATCAGAAGTTCTCTTCTTGATGTATTCGTAACCAGCTTCCATATTGCCCATTTGATCCGATCCACCCAACTATTATATTTTTACGTATTTGTTTAACAAAAAATGAATAAGATAATCCTACACGAATTACTGAAAATTGATATATGTTTCAGAGTTTATAATAATTTTGAAAAAAAAGAACTTGGAAGATCTTTAAATTTAAGATTTTATTTTAAAGAAGATTTCTTTCTTTAAAAAAATCTATCAAGAAAGAATTTTTTTTTACGCATAAAAATCGCAAAAGATTCACTTATGAGTGATTTTTTTTTAGAGGAAAAAGATTTGGAATTTTAAGGTAAAATTTGATCTAAAATCCTGTTTGAGCATTCTCCTTTTATTTTTAGCATTTCAAAACTCTGATAAGTTTATAAATAATTAAAACTAGCGATTCGCCATAATAACGATTCTGTAGTCTGGCCCCCCATCAGTTGCGGGACCTGAAGTAAACACCATCTTATAAAATGAAGGTTAAATTCGAATAATATTAATGAATGTTTCATTTACTTATCTTTTCGCCTTAAATTGACTATCAAAAATTAGAAATGTTTTAAAGTTATTTACATTTTTTGCCATTAGGGTTATTTTTTTTTAATTATAAAATAGTTAAGTGCCTCATATTAAATGTGGTATCTGTATCAAGATAGATTTTCGATTAAAATATTTGTATCTAGATATTATTTTAGACGATGTATCTGTATCTAGATCCATTTAAAAAAAGTATCTTTTAACAACTCTGCTCTTTTGTTTAGATTTAATTACATTAAAACATATGGCTTTTGTGTTTTCATCAGGGATTTTCCATACTTTTGGATTTCTTAGAAAGACTTTCATTACTGATAAAGTTCTGAATCCGCAGATATAATTAGAGTTCCGAAAAGTGTAGGGGGGGGGTTGGTTTTATCCCCCAATTATGTAAGATAAAACTAATTACATCTCTTCTTCACGAAAACGTTCATTTTTTTCACTTTGCGCCAATTTTATTTTAATTAATAATTGGGCTTTTTTATTTTCCCCTAATAAAAAGGGACTAATTTTTATGTTTACCAGGATCTGATAATTTGATTTGTAAATTTTTTATATTTAAAATTAATTTAATTAAAGTTTAAAAAAAAAAAATATTTGTCCGTTTTGTTAATAAATAATTTGAGTTTTAATTTGAAGCATTTTAAGTAAGTTTTAAGTTATCTGACTATGGCACACACCCGCTCACAAGGACTGATTGGAGAGGATCCAATTGACTCCGCTATTTCACCCTGAATTTATGATTTTCCACCGGTAAATGAAGCCCCGTTGCTTCAAAAATAAATAAATAAATGTTTTTAAAAAAATCGGATGACAGGAGATATTTCATATTTTTTTTTTTTATAAATTCTTAATAAAATAGAACAAAATTTGAATTGGGCTGTAGGCTGCACCAGCCAGGGGAGGTTTAAATATAAATTTATTTTATTGGGCCTCAGGCTTAGGCCAATACAAAACATTTCTAATGTTAAACCTCGAAAGATTAAAATAATATATAAACAGGGCCTTTCTTTAAATGATAATGAAGTATAATTAGCCACTAAACATATGCAGAGATAAAACAATAGCAGTAGTTGGTAATGCTATTAGTCAATATTTTAAATTTCAACTGATACCAGGTGAACACTAAAAATGAACTTTTATAATTATTTTTTAAAAAAATATATAATATTGGTATTTTTAAAAATTTTTTATAAAAATTAACCAATAAAAAGAAAGAAGATTATGTTTAATTTAATTTTATGAATTTCCTAAATTAAATATATATAACAGTATTATTTTTGTTGCAGGGATTGAATATTGATGGTATTGGTTAATACTGTATTAGTAGTAACTTTGACCATCTCTATTGTGGCTTAATCAAGCTTTTAACATAAAAAATTGAATTAAGCCTCTAATGAGTCTCAACTTGAAGATTGATTCAAATATTTTTGGATAAAAACAAGTCTACCATGTTTTATAGTTGATTAAAGTTAGGTAGTTTAACCACACTATGTATTAGTATTGGTGTTATTGACATCAGCTGAAAGTGCATCTCACTTACCTGGTAAAATAGAAACACTATATCGAGCAATAAGAAATTTGTCTTAAATAATTATGGACAAATAAAAAGCAATGTTTATGTAATTTTTAAGAGAGGACATGAATTTAAATAATAAAATGAGTTAAAATTTTGCTTTATAATCAATTCATTTAAAACCATTTTCCCTTTTCTAAAAGAATTAAAGGGGGTAACCTATGCATTCTTCTGTAAAATAAAAATTGTCATAGTAATAAATAAATTTTTATAAATGATTTAAAAAAAAATAAAGATTGAGGCTTAATAAGGTAATCAAATCAAATTTTAATAACCTGAAAAACACAATTTTCTTTGCAATATAAATGGTACCAGTCATATGCTTGAAATATTTGATAAGTAAATTCATTAAAAGTGAGTCCTTTATCCTCAATTGAACTTATTCTATTCTTAATACTAAATAAATAAATATATTATAATTAAAAACTTAAAAAATTTCAATTACAAATTTTTTCTAAGCATGGTTCCCATTCTAAAATATCTGCCAACATCAGATAAATAATTGATAACATTAATAGATTTATACCAGTCCATATTGTTATAAATTCTATAATTTATGAGTTTAATTAGAAATACAAAAAATTACTTAGCAGGTAATAATTGAAAATTACATGTGTAATCATCCTTATTGCATATAAAGTTTTTAAAATTTTCTAATATATTATTCAAGTCTAATTTAATCAGATTGACATTTTGCAGTAAAATTAAATCATCAATCATCTTGCGATTTATTGTACTGCCAGATGGATCTCCAATTTTTGCAGTTCCTTCTCCTATCTTATTTTTATTTAAAAAATAAAGGTCATAATAATATTACTAATAAATGAATTTGATGTCCAAATGATTGCCATCTAACTAAACCAAGGATTATTAATAGGTTTCCTAGATGAAGACTATCAGCAGTAGGATCTATACCAGCATATATATTCAAAGGTTTTATGAAATTAGATTCATTATATATACTTTAAATTATATTTACATATTCAAATAATTATAAAATTACGTAAAATCGATAGGGGGTAATATGGTTTTGATTAATCCACGGGATTCAAATTCCTTTAAAACTCCTGCTAATGCAGAATGTGAACGGTAGATTTTCTCTAAAACTTTAAAAACATTTACCATATGAAATTTAAAAATATCTATGAATGGTTAATTAATCTATTCATTATTATTTCCAATCCTAAACTATGACCGATAAGAGTACTAATAGTCTGAAATGAATATATATTTATAATACAAACAATACTATTATTTTTACTTTTAGTATAAATAAAAAATATATTAAAATCTTTTACTTACTAATAGGCCCGTTACCAAAACCTTTCACTAAGATGGACAAATAAAAGTAATGTTATATCCATTAGATTGGCTGTTAAAAACATTATGAACAGCAGTTCAAAAAAATCTTTATTATTTTAAAATTTATATTATCTTCTATTTAGAATTAAATTATCTTTATTTTTGAATTGCTTTATATTAAAGTTATATAAAATTTTGTCTTATTTATATACTAAAATATAGAGTTGTTAAAAGATATCATTAAATTAGATCTTGAATAAGAATATTTCCTTTAGAAACGTGTCTAGATACAGATACAATTTTTATTATACTTATGTAAGATTTATAATACTTAATATAGTATTCTATTGTTAAAATTTAAATATTGAAGCGAACTAAATATATTGAGCCAATATTATATCTATATACAAATAAATAATTAATATATTGTTAGATTATAAAAATCCATATATAAAACAGTAGCATCACTAGAAGGGAGGGGGCTGCAGAGGCCAATGATATATATCATTGGCAGAGGCTCAAGCTTCCTGATTTGAAGAACCCCCTCAAAATCTTGAATTTTTTTTATACTACTAAAAATAAATAGTTTTAGCTAAGAAAAAAAGGAGTAATTTAGGATGAAGTTAATTAAAAAAAAGGTAATCTTGAAAATAATCTAAAAAAATTTTTTGTGCCCCCTGAGATTGTAAAGTCTAGTGATGCCCCTGATGTATAGTATAAAATGATTAGAAATAAATGTTAAATTTAATAAATAGTTAGTAATGTGTTGTTTTCTACTTTTTATTTGTTTCAATTTTTTATACCCTAATGTCCTATTTCTATTTCATTTTAAAGTTTTTTTTAAAAATTACTTTTATTAATTTAACGCGATTTTTCATCGCTCAAATAATTTACGTGATACATGATAAAAAGCGTTTTCGTCCTCTAGTTTTAATTTGAGCTAATTTAACAATAACATTTTTTTAAAAATTGATGATATGACCTCTAGGAATATGACATAAAATATTGATTTAATAAAACGAATTTATAAACAGAAAGGCATTTGTTGATTCCTTAAATGTGATTTTTTATATGATAATAAAATGTTGACGAAGAGTAGCCTATTAAAGAATTAAAATAAAAATTAAGTCTTAATTATAATCATCATTCCTCCAAATATAACAAAAATATTCTCAAAATTGTAATCATTAAGGCATGCTTATCTGTAACGATATTTTTAGCCATACTAAACTATTTATATCAATGTACCTTGGCAGAGTGGTTGTTATATTTAATGAATAACAATTTTATATTAATATAATCGTTAAATGTAGTAAAATCTAGATACTCATTTAAAATTTTTACAAAATTTGATTAGTTTCCAAATTTATATTAATCCTCATTAAGAACTATTTTTTGGTCTAATCCTATCTTCTTCTAAATTAGTAATTTTGAATATTTTAATTTAAGTAGGCTCAAAAACTCCGATAATTTATAGATTATATCTATAATGGTACATTTATAATTAATTGATATATCACCTTTCTACAAAAATTACCTTTCTGAGTTAATAATGTCCTCACAAATTTAGATATTTGTGTTTCTGACTCTACCCATTGGAAGAAATTAAGATTTAAAACGGTTAATAGACTGTTCAAATTTTATTATAGCAAATCAACATCGGGAAACATCGGGATATTTATATAGCGTAGCAGCGTCTACATTAATTAGGGGAAGGGGTAGGAGCAGTTTGTATTCTTTTTTTTGAGGGGGGTAGGCGGATTTAATGGGGGTAGGATACATTTTTTTGGGGGGTTATCTATTAAATTTTGAGATAAAATATAACAAAATTTATTGCTGTAAAAATTAATACTTTAATTTTAGACCTATTAAATACAGTTCATAAACCAAATCTATATATTGCAAACAGTCATAGAAATTATTTTCCAAATAAATCTTTCTGCTATCCTTACAAATGTTATTTAAAAGGTTTAGACATTTTCAGCATGCTCATTATGCTATAATAATGAATTCATTGTAAATGATGGGGTTTTAATTGAATTTATTATCTAAAAAATAACTCCTTAATATTCACAAAATGTCGATAGTTAGTAATAGAGATAAAATAATTTAAGTTATTCTTTTTAAATTTTCTGATAGAGTATCATTATAATTAAAAAGGTGAAATTAAAAATGGTTAGGGGGGTAGGAATAGGTTTTCGAAGGTGATTTGCATCCAGTGAAAATCCTGTCATGTAGACACTGTAGCGTAGTGAACAAATATCTATCTAGTATAAAATGGAAATTTTAGAAATATTTATATTTTCTCTAAATAAAAAATTTAGCTAAGAATACACCAAATCAACAGTTATATATTTTAAGAATTTTTTAAAATAAGGCAATATAATAGATTTATAAATAAACGTAGCTTTAGAAAATTTATACGCATGAGTTAATTGCTTTCTTGTAAAATATATTATTTATATTATTATAGCATTAAAAACACAAAGCATAAACAAGGAATTTAAACTTGTAGATCAACAATCAAACTGATATTTTTCTATATTTTAAAAAAAATTATAAATTATTTAAATTGCGGCATATTATTTTATTATAATTTTAGGATGATTAATATTCGCTCAAATGAAACGTAATTTTAAGAATTGAACCAATTTAGAAAATCTTTCACATAATTTTTGGTATGCAAGGAATGATAAAGTCTCCTAACCACAGTCCCTTCACCACATTTCAACTTAAGCCACATTCAAAGTAAACGCGTTTTGTTCAAGCGTGGCGTTATTTTTTGCAGTGTTATTACAAAATTAAGTTAATAAATAGATATAAATTTATAAATATGGTGCGTCATGATGCTAACGCTATAATAGAATTTGAAAAACAAGTTGCGATGCGTTAATAAAAAATATGCGTACGATTTTAAAAATAATTGCAAATTCAATAAAAAGGTATATGATTTTTTTAAAATATTATATAAATAATTATCTCTATTTTACCTTACCTTAAATCAGTTTTCAAAACTGAATCATCTGTAATAACATTGCGTCTAAACGCTTGAAGATATCACGTTTACTATAAATGCAGCGTATGCGTTGGTTTATCGTCATTCCTACTTCCTATATAAAATTTTAACACTTTTTACGTATTCATATCTTAAACAAAGATGTCTTTTAATTTCAATAAATATCATTATCACAATGAAAATCATATAAAAATTATGAATCATGGTCAAAAATCAGTTTACAAAGAAAAATATATGGAAAAATAAAAGAATGAGAATAAATATTTTCCTCAAAATCCCCGAAACAAGTAATAATCCAAATTGTTTGACATTCTTTTGATATTAGACATTCATAATTTATAAGATTATATATTTTATAAAATTAAATATAAAATCTACGAATCTACATTTAAACATTATTTGATGATATTGAATATTAAATAAGTAAAAAATACACAACTGCAACAATATTAAAAAAAATTTTTTTAAAATTTGTCAAAATTTTAATTACTTTTATTTTTATAATATCTTTTTTATTCAAACTGCTTATATTTTATTTTGCTAAAAGAAAAAGTCAATAATTTATATTTTATATATGTTATTCAAATGATCTTTTTTATTTCTTTTAAAAAATATATTAGAAATATCATGCAAACTATTTATAAAAAATAGCAAAATAAATATACATGAAATTGTTAAGAAGTCGTTTTATTTTTTTAAAGTTACTTGTTTTAGTGTTGTTAAACTGCTCGATTTGACCTTTTTTTAAAAAATGGTTAACTAAATATTATAGCCAGAAAATTATTGTCTAAGCATCGTGATTTCGTTAATAAATGTTCAAACCTTTGTGCCACTATGAGCAAAATCTTATGGCTTGAATAATAATTTCTAGCAAAATATTGAGTTAGCCGTTTTTAAAAATCGGCTCAAAATGAGCCGATTAAAAACACTAGTTTTAATTGATAATGACATTCAAAAACAATTATACAAATTTTAATTGTTAATGATATTAAAAAAAAAATTAAGCAAGTTCAATTTACTTCGAAAGGTCTAGTTTTTTTTTTACCTTCGGTAATAATTTAAATTAAAAATTTTATTATATTAACAATTTTGGGTCCCACCATCAGAGTTGGGAAAACACAGTCCGTGATCGGGGTCCGGGATGGTCGATAATGCGATCCAGGGGACCGTGTTAGGGTAAAGTTTTAGTCAAGGTATCACGCGGATAAGGTAGTGTAAATATGGTAAAACAAATTTATTAGTTACAAAAAAAGAAATTAATAAAATCATTCGTAAAAAAAAAATCACAATCCCGAATTTCCTTTTTCGTGGTCTTTATATAGATAAATTTAATAAAAAAAAAGAATGTTAATAATCTAGGCCCATCTTGAAAACTGGCTAGAACCAGTTTTGAGGATGAAATCAAAACAAACTTGGTATACGTGAGCAAAGAAAAAAAAGATATATATGATAATAAGGAACACATCACTTCTAATTGAACAAAGAAAACAAAAATATAAATGGTAATATAAAAACATATCACTAGAACAAAGACATAATAACTATTATAAACTAGTTAAAACACAACACTCCTCCCCGCTTAACTTCTACTACCGTCGCACCTTTCGGATGAGGTCAGATGGCAGGCCTAAATAAAAATTTATTTTACAACCCAAAAAAAAATATATAACGGTATACGCCGCACCGCGTTGTCAGGGCGGAATTTAATCCTAAGTTCATTACCTTAGGCTCATAAAATGTCTAACAAAATAAATGGCATAGCCACACCGCGTTGTCAGGGCGGAATTTAATCCTGAGTTCATTACCTTAGGCT